AAAAGAAACTTTGGGAAACACTGGCAGTTAAATTCCTCACGTGAATACAGACACAAAGCTATTATGTAACCTGGCAATTCTCCCAAGGAATCCAAGAGGAATGAAAATATATGTCCACACAAAGATTTGTGTATGGATGTTTACATTTTTTATAAGTCAAAAGATAGAAACAACCTGTCTATTGATAACGAATAAACAAAATGCGATATACTCATGCCACAGATTATATTTGGCCATGAGGCAGAAGCGCTGGTCCAGGCTACTTGGGGAAACCCTAAAAGCATTCTGCTGAGTGGAAGACATCAGACACAACAGGCCACTGCTGTAGGCTCCCATGGTGGCAAGATGCCTGGCGTGGGAATCCAGAGGAGTAGAAGGCAGGCGTGACAGCTGAATGCTTAGCACAGGGGAAGGGATGACAGATAAAGAACCCAGGGTTTTTCTAGGAATGACAAGAATTTCTCAAGGTATCTGTGGGGCAGTTATGTGTATCTGTGAATATCCTAAAACTCCCCGAGTGCATTTTAAAATGAATACTTCTATGTGAAATATATCTCAAGAAGACCGCTCATAAAAACATCCTCTTATCCAGGTGCCAGTGGCTCACACCTGTAATCCTAGCTACTCAGGAGGCTGAGATCTGAGGACTGGGCGGGTAAGTCTGGGAGACTCTTATCTCCAATAAAACTATTCGGAAAAAGCCAGACATGGCGCTGTGCCTCAAGTGGTAGAGTGCTAGCCTTGAGCATAGAGAGGCTTAGGGACAGAGCCCAGGCTCTGACTCAAGCCCCAGTAGTACTGGCAAAAAGAAAAAAAAAGTCCTGATTGGTGACAACATGTAGGTGAACCTGGGGGCAGGGAGCAGCAGCAGATGCGGCAGAGACTTTAGATTTAACAATAGAAGGTGGAGATTTTAAAGCTCAAGAAGTAGAAACCCCATCTTAGAAGAAGGGGTTACAGGGAAAACTCAGTAGTGTCACAATACCCAGAAGACCAGATATTAAATAGTACTTTTACAAATGAAGGTTAAAACAAGTAAATTTGCTGTCATGTTTGGGGGAGCCTCACGTTTGTTAGGCAGGTACTCTACCGTTGAAGCCACATCCTCAGACCATTTTGCTTGTGTTTGTGCCATGAACCTCAATCCCCTCCTATTTCTACCTCCCACACAGCTGGAGCGAAGGCATGAACCACCTCAGCTAGCTCACTGGTTATGATGGGCTGGCCTCCATCTCCTGAGTACCTGGGATTATAGACCTGAACCGCTTTGCCGAGCCCCACAGGAAGATTTTTTTTTTTAAAGGAACTAACTAGTTCATGAAAAAATTAGCACTTGCTAGTGAAAAGTCACTCATCTGTGGAATAAGTGAGAAACAGCATTTTCCTTTGTAGGAACTTTGAAGGAGACAGAGCAGTGTCTGTTTTCAATTGCTTAGTGGAGGGCAGAGTTCTAGATTAGATGAGTTCTTAAGGTTCAGCTCAGTTGTTTCCTATGAGAGACAGAGATAGAGACAAGAGACACAGAGAGAGAGAGAGAGAGAGAGAGAGAGACACACACACACACACAGACAGAGAGAGAATATAGCTGGGCCTAGTGGTATACTCTTGTGATCCCACCACTAGGAAGGTTGAAGCAGGAAAATCTTGCGTTCCAGGGCAACCTGAGTGACAGAGTTAGGCCCTATCTCAAGTGGAGGAAAATAAAAGAGGAAAGAAAGAAAGAAAGGAAGGAAGAAAGAAAGGAAGGAAGGAAAGAAGGAAAGAAAGAAAGAAGAAAGGGGGAAAGACAGAAAAAAGAGAGAAAGAAAGAAAGAAAGAAAGAAGGGGGAAAGAAAGAAAAAAGAAAGAGAGAGAGAGAGAAATGGATGTTATCTTTAAGAGTAAGGGGGGAAGTTCTGATTCATTCAAGCCTGGAGGTTACCTGATGGCCCCTATCCCATCCTCAACCAAAAGCTGCCTGGAGGTAAAGGCTTCTCCTCCCCCTCACCCAAAGCACAGCGCCTTCTGCCATGAACAGGAAGCTGTTCCCCCCTCCCCTGAGAGGGTGTGGGAAATGGCTTCCCTCCAGCAGGACAGGTCTGCTTTCATCCCAATGTGCACTGTTATGATTCCAAGGTTTATGATTAGCAAAGACAGCTCCACACCTCACTTGACTATCCAAATACAAAGCGGAACTGAAATTGTGGACACAGAAAACAATCTACTAATTTGATCAAAGCATGAAGTCAGCAGAAAAAGTTATGAAATGGGACTTTAGTGACTCAACAGGAAATGCATTTTGCAAGATGACTCTGACCCATGTCTCTAACAGGAAGTGTGGTGACACCAGCCGCCACCGCCAGATGGCGCCATAACCACAGACTGCCGGAGGACTGCAAAACCTCTGCCCGACTGACCAGGTAAATGCCGGGTTTCTAAACCCCACAGGAGCAGGAAGCCATGGTAGTTTTGGATTATATGTAATGGGCATTTTTGCCCTTAAATATGAGGCACAAGCAGAGTTTGTAATGAGACTTCACCTCTCCCTTTCTCTAAGCCTCCTCTTCAGCCGTCTCTAGCTTGTTTTTTTGTTTGTTTTTGGGTCTGGTCATGGGGCCTGAACTCTGGGCCTGGGCGCTGTCCCTCAGCTCTTCAGCTCAAGACTAGCGCTCTACCACTTGAGCCACAACACCACTTCCTTCTTTTTTCTGTTTGCTTATGTGGTGCTGACGAATCAAACCCAGGGCCTCAGGCATGCAAGGCAAGCACTCTACCACTGAGCCACCTTCCCAGCCCCAAGCCCTCTCTAGTTTGAATTGAGAGAACAAGTTAATTATGGAGCAAGACACAGAATAACTTTCACAGTGAGGCAGCTCGGTGCTAGCTCCTCCACTGGCTGATGCATCTTCTGCCTCAGTCACACATGCATGCAACACATTATTGAGCAGATCTGGTCCCAGTGACCACACAGAGGCCTGAGCCAGAGCAGTTCTTGGAGCTGAGGCTTCTGGAAGAGTGAAAATCAAAGATACCATGTGATGGGCTGTAGATAGTTAAAGGCGGCCTCTGGAGCTAGGTGGACCCTGGTTCAAATCCTGCCCAGACTACTTACACTGCAATGATCCTGGGCGGACACAGATGAAGAAGCGGTGCCTATACCTCCTAGAGCTGCTAACAGGACTTGAGTAACCAGCGCCTTGCCCGCTTCTGCCAAGTGTTCAATGAAAATGCAGTGCTACCCGCTGCCTTGCCAGCCAAGCCAGAAGGTTCCTACGAGACCGCCGCTAAGAATGAAGCGTTAGGAGAAAGGAAGAAAATCAAAACAAGCAGCACAGATGTATAAAGCTGTTTTCTAAGAAACAGGGGCAGCATTGAAACAATGCCCCGGAGAGGCTCAGAGAGGCCAGCAGAGAAAGGCACCAGGCAAGAGAGCAACCCAGAGGCTGGGCGGACATCAGCCTGGGTGGGGGAGTGGCAGAGAAGGCCTGTGAACTCTGGCCCGCTGGGAGGCGTGCACCGCGGGGAAGCTGTGGGGCTTTCCACGCTAAGCACACTCATCCCCGGGCTGATGTGGACGGGCCCATCCTCACAGCCTGGCATTACGTGGCTTTCTGCCCTTCCTGGTGATGCCTGCCAAATTGGACTGAAGCCTTGCCTCCTGCAGCGCGTCCAGGACAACAAAGGGCAGGAGTGCTCCTCCTCTGTATACAGCCAGTCGTGTCT